TGTTATACAAGTATTAGCCTCAGCAGAGATGTAGTACTGTGTTCATATTGCAACATTACACATTATACACAAATTGAGACTGCGGGCCACACAAAGAAAAATGTTACCCTCTCTGGAAAAAAAAAAACAAAAGCAACAAGCTTGTTATATTGACTTATACTAGTAACTAATGCAATGGTGTTTATCACTCCAAATAGGTGTAGTCAGCTGACCTTGGCTAGACAGCAGGTGCCCACAAAAGCTGCTCTATCATTCCCCTTCCCAGCTGGACAATGAAGAGAGAGTAAGATGGAAAACAACTCGTAGGTTGAGACAAGGCAGTTTACTAAAGCAAAAGTGAAAGTTTGCATGCACACACAAAGAGGAAAATAACAAGGTTTACTCTTCACTTCCCATTAGCAAGAGATGTCCGGCCACTTCCCGGGCATCAGGGCTTCAGCACACGTAAGTGGTTCTCAGAAGGCAAACATAAACAACAAATGCTCTCCCTTCCTCCTCCTTCCCTTAGGTCTTACATCTGAGCTGATGGTACGGAATATCTCTTTGGTTAATTTGGGTCCACTGGCCTGGTTGTGTTCCCTCCCAGGATCTTGCCCTCAATCGGGGATGGGGGGAGGAATGCTGAGAGATAGAGCTGGTGCTGTGCCAGCGCTGCTCAGCAGTAGCAAGTGATAACACCAGTGTGTTATCAATCCGTTTTAGGTACCAATGCAAAGCACAGTACTGTGAGGGCTGCTATGGGGAAATGAACTCCAGCTCAGCCAGACCGATACAATCTGTTATTACCTTTGCATGATCAATGCGAACAGAAAGTTCTTTAGATGCAAATCCACCAAAAATCAAGCTATGGATGGCTCCTATTCTTGCACAAGCCAGCATGCAGTACACTGTCTGTGGAATCATGGGCATGTAGATGACCACACGATCTCCTTTCTTCACACCATGTCTGATCATGACATCAGCTAACTTGGAGACCTGTAATGACAAAACATTCACAACATATTAAAAGTTTCTCCAGATCTGCTGGTGCCCCATATGTAAACAACTTTTACACAGTCAACAGATATAGGACATTAAGGAGACAAGACTGTATGATACGGAAAGCTGATGAACAATGCAATCGAGGTTCAATAAATTTAAGACAATTTCCTTTTTGCAAAAAAACCTCTCTGTAATACATTTTTTTCCATAAAATAAAAATGGAATGAGGCTAATTATTGTACTTATTATAGTAAAAAACAAAATCAATAGTAATGTTTTGCAAATTTTAAAGCAGGGCATTTCATAGTGCAAATTCTGTCCTAACCAGCAAAGTTTGAAACAGAAATCAATACGTAGTAATATTTTCTCTATTACAGTGTCAGAAACTTCTCATAATCTGAGACAAGAAATCTTACAACCTCAACCAAAAGTAAATACAAATGCAGAGAAACGTGTTTAGATTTAAAAGGCTATTTTTGCTCTCATTTTCAGATTTTCATTTTTGCTGTGCAGAAACCTGAAGACAGACTATGTACAGCAGCAAAGAATTGGAACTCAAGAAATGTGATAGACAGATCAGCAGCAATGTCTCTGAAACACCATGAGAAAATACTTATTGACAGTACACAATATTCTGTCACAAAAGTAGTATTGAAAATTTCATTAGTATGCCAGGATCGGCTACTTACTTCTGTTAGAGTGAGCATGGGAGCCTGTGACAAGCACTGTGCACTTGTTCCCACCTACTTGTTGTGGCACGGAAATGTGGCATCTTCTGAAGGAAAAGCAAATTACTAACTCCCTAAGAGCAACTGAATGAACTCACCTATCAGAGTTTTTCTTGAGTTCCAGAGGCTGACAGCTGCATAATACGCAGCACCTAATCCTGCTCACTGCCTTTCAATTCTTCAATTAGACATCCATGTATAGAGGTGTAACTGTGCACAACACAGGCTAAGAGAGGTTAACAGGAAAAACTGTAGACTAAGAAGAAACCAAGTAGACTAATAAACTTGCGTTTTGCTTGCATTAGTTTTACATTAATTATAAGACATTCTCTAGGAAGTTCTTGGGCTAAGTGAAGACAAATCTAAGTTTAGAACAAAGGAGTTGCTCTGTCTTACAGGGGAACTCTTCTTACCTATTGTAGTAAAACTATTCTTTAAGAGCTTGCCAATTACTAGAAAATACTACAATAAACATAAGAAGTTTAAAGGTTTTAATTTCTTTTACGATCAATGTAACATAAATCTATTCATGCATAAATTCCTCACATCTTACCCGTATGGCATTAGTCCTCATTTATTCACATAGATAAGGTTTCAAGTAAAATTTAGTCTTGTAAGAGACTCTCTTCTTCAGGTACTATCAGAAAAAAAAAAGGAAAGAGGAGACAAAGTCCTGAGAGCAGCAGTGGGATGGTGTCTGTGGAATAAAAACCATTCAAGGTTCTGAAGCAGTAAGAATGTTTTTAGTGACCCAGCAAATAATGTAAGCAATGGGGGCAGCCTAAGCAAATAATACACATGCAAGCAGCACAGAAGGGAAGGAACCTCTTTTTCAAGGATGAGCTAGTCAGGAGGGTAGATTTTCTTTGAAATTACTGTCATTTATATTATTTAAAAATTTGAGTTTTCTCTATTTAAAGAGTAGCTACGCACAGTCCTAGAATTCTATATGATACATACACTGAAGAGGATAATTGCTCTCTGCCTCTGTCTTCTGTGGAAACCTATATTCAGACCTTCAGTAACATGAGACAGTAACATCCAGAAGCTCCAGATGCATCTGCTCTGTCATTGCATTAATTCACAGCACATCCACAATCAAACTATGCATATTTCTACACTTCCGCCTGAGGATTGAAGAAAATGGAAGCACAGAAGCCTCAAGCATGCACTTTTGCATCAGAAGATAACTGCATAAGTTCCATTTTATATAAACACTGCAAAAATCCCTGCTGTTATTTTCAACCACAGAGAGAGTATGTTTATAAGGCTGTCATCACCATTCCAAGTTGAAAACTGATACAAGCTAAAGTATCTATATGACTTATACAGATATTTAATATAATCTCTTATATTAAATACTACTGATGTTCAAGAGCTAATGCCTTTAATGCTAAACCTATTAATACCTATCAATACTCTATGAAACTGACATACACTTTTAAAACCCAACAAAAACCAAAGCCTGGACATGTACGCAGCTATAATTTATTGCCATAACACCAGCATTTACAGTCATTTCTAGCTGGAATTGGTGAAAGTAATTGTAAGTAAAGCTAACAACTCTACTTCCAAAGGTAAATTAGTTTTCTATACGTCCTACAGTGAAAAAATTAAAATCTGCAAACTTATTGTAAGACAGAGCTAACATCACCGTCTCACAAAGAAATGAGAAAACTAATCATTATCCTTCCTGCTTGTGAGACTCAGAGTATTGACAAAAAGGCCAGAGGCAATGAAAACAATAACACTGACTATAAAAATACTCATTTGGTAAGTGTGTGTAGTGGACAATAAAATGTTAAGCACAATGGACAAGTATTATTATTGTTTACTATATTTATTTCATAAATAATTATTAATGATTATTAAAAAGGCAATGTTTGCCTGCTAAAGGAAAAAGCATAATTTAAACATCACCATTAGTAATTTTGTAATAGAAGACTCCCAGTGCTTGTATACAAGCTATATGACTTTGGTTTTGGTAGTAGGAGGGAGACAGTGAAGAGATCTGCATGTACTGCAGTTATTTTTAGTGAAACCTAACAGAGGTAAATTGTATTTAAAGCCAAACATGTGCAGCATGCTGTAGGCAGGAACCACATGTCAGCTGTGCAAATCCAGTAAGCACTTGTCTGCACTTAACCTCCCCACCCTAGAGAGTTTAATGTCACTGAAGACAATAATCCAATACAATATATGGGTGTTTATGATTTTCCTTGTGCCCTTTCCCTCATCCTTCTGACAGCCAGGAAACATTTGGACAATATAATAAAACAGTGTCTCTATCTGCAACTACTTGGAAGACAAGAGAACATTTGAAAGCAGGTTTACATTGCCCTACAGATTGATGTGGTAGCCCTGAAACATTCAAGCAATCACTTTCTAAAAAGAAGGGGATTGGGGAACCATGAGTATTGACATTTCATTAAATTGTTAAAAGCCATGAAATCTTCCACTTTCTTATGATGCTTTGCCATTTATGGTTTACATTAAGACAGTGTAGTATACTTTATCACTCAAAAACTAACACGCTATTTCTCCACTTTTCTTCCATTTTAAGATTGCTCTATCACTTTAATATATTTGACACTTCAGTAATAAAATCACTTGAGACCAAGTGATATAATAAGAAACTCAAGTAAGCTTTCAGCTCTGAAGATTGGGGCATAAATTACACTTCTATTAAATGCAAGTCCCCAGTAAGCATGGGTTTACTTTTACACAGCCACCAAACAAATACTACAGCTATATTAGCAGCTCAGGTTTGCATGTAATGCAGTTCTAAAGTAAACCCCTAGTAGTTATTGCAAGCAGTTTTGGTCCATGCCAAAAGAATTCTTCCTAGAAGATACTAAACCAGAAATCCCACTCAAAATGCTTAAAGGAGGAATTTCAAACTTACCGGCTTGAACATTGACTAGGTCTCACAAGTATGGAATCCTTCAATGCAAGCTAAACAGAAAAGGATGATTCAAAAAACGAGAGCTCCTGAAATATCCTGAACTGCATCTCATGGGCTAAAAAGAGCCATGTCCCATATGCATTCTCTAAACCAGAGGCAAAGAGTCACCTTATGCTCTTCAGCTTATCCACCGTATTCTTCTTCCGAGACTACTAAAGAAAGTGCTCCTTCCTACTCCCCCCCACTCCTTGATCAGCCTCTTCACTGTTCTGTTACTCTTCTTAATTATTGTTTCCTCCTTTTCCTACTGCTGTAAAAGCTTCTCCAGTAGATGTACCACCCTGTTGCTAATATCAAGCCTGCTGCAGAGTGGGAGAGGACTGACAAGTGGTTCTGCATTCATTTCAATTAGATGAATACCATGTTCTTGATGAGGTGGCAAAACCATGTTTCAGAGGTTGGTGAAACCATGGTTTCAGGTGGTGTGTGTGCTGCCAGCATGGACATCTTTGAACAGATCTTCAGGGGAGGAGAGAGCACTCCACTAATCCCTTGGACATCTACACCCTTGGTCCCAGGATCAGTAGTCCTGGGACACAGTTTAGGGAAAAGCATGGCAATGGTGCTGCACACATCTACATGCCTACAACCCCTAGAGGTTATAAAATAGGTAGGTTATAAAATAACATGCAGGAACATCCCCTCTGTCTGCTCCTCAATAGGCCACGGTCCAGATGCTCACATGAGTAAGTGTACATGTATTGAGAGAAGGACTGTGCTTAGGAGGTTTCTGGTGGAATTAGGGCACTGGCTGCAGAGCTTTGTAAAGGCAGCATGAGTCTCTGGATTGCCTTTGAGAGCTGCTATGCCTTGAGAAACAATTTCCCAGGGGCTATGAAGGAACAAGCTCTGTCAGAGACCACCTACCCCATCCTAGCTCTGCATGTGTACCAGGTATAGTCCCAGAAACCACATAATCCATGGATGTGGCATGCCTTGATCACATAGCCCTACTGAGCTTCTGCACAAAAGCCCAGCCACAGTCTCAAATGCAGTATATAAAGAACCTTTGGTGGTAGCGATGCAGGTACAGTCCTCCGCAAGGAATAAGAAAAAACCTAAATCAGGATCATTTCTACTTCTTTCTATTACAGCCAGACAGCCACTCAGATTGCAGTTAGTTGCGGTAATTTCTCCTTCCATCTTTCAGATATCAAGAAGTTCTTTGGATCAAGAGGAAGTTGGGGATATTGGGACTACTTCTTAGTCCCCTAAGAAGGGACTGGGATGAGATACGGATTCTATAATACTTATCAGCTTTGTGTGGATTTAATGTTTGATTAGAAGGGATGCCATGGCAT